AGGTGATCCTCATAGAGGTGAATTTAGTGAATCTAAACTCTTACAAAAATAATTTTGTTGAATAGGGTTTTATTAAAAGAAAATTTACCAAAGTAAGTTTTTTTTAAGGTAACTTTTGTTATAGTAAACTATCTTACCAAGTTAAGCAATTAGGTCAAGTTGAACTTTTTTAGCTAACCTGAGCTCTTTAGTCAAGCTAATCTTTTGTTAAGAAAATGTGACAAAGCTGATACTTTATCAATGAAATTTGATTGGGTTGAGCTCTTTTAGCCTATTTGATCTCTTTTAGTTAAGTTAATCTTTTTTGGTTAAGCTAATCCTTTTTGGCTAAACTAGTCTTAAGAAAATACTGTGAAGCTGATTATAAATGAGATTTGGCCTAGCTGAACATTTTTGGCTAAGTTGAAAAAACTAATACTTTATTAATAATATTTGACCGAGTTAAGCTTTTTTAGTTGAACTAACCCTTTGTGAAAAACATTTGGCAGGGTTTATACTTTATCTAAGAAATTTGATCAAACTAAACTTTTTTAGCTGGCATGACCTCTTTTGGCTAAGACAATCTTTTGTTAAGAAAATGTGCTAAAACTATTATTTTATCAATGAAATTTGGCTGAGTTGAATTTTTTTGATCGAGTTGACAAAACTAATACTTTATCAATAGAATTTGGTCGAGTAGAGCTATTTTGGCTGGTTAATCTCTTTTGGTCGAGCTAATCATTTATTAAGGCTTTTTGGTCAAGCTGATCTTTTGCCAAAGAAATTCGATTTGAGTTGAGCTTTTTTGGCCGAACTATACCTTTATGAAAGGAATTTACCAAAATGAGCTCTTTTATCAACTGGGCCTTTATATGAAGACAATTTGTTTAGAAAAGCTCCTTGGCTAAACTGTTCAAGCTAAGTTTTTATGAAAGTAATTTATAAAGATAAGCTCTTTAGTTAAAGTGGTCGAGCTAAACCTTTATAAAGGTAATTTACTGATATGAACTCTTTGATTAAGCTGGTCGAGTTAAGCTTTTATGAAAGTAATTTATCAAGATAAGCTTTTGGTCAAGATAACCAAGCTAAGCCTTTATGAAGGTAATTTACCAAAACAAGCTTTTTGGCTAAGATAGCCAAATTAAGGCTTTATGAAAGTAATATATCGAGATAAGCTCTTTGGCCAATGTGGCAAAACTAAGTCTTTATGAAAGCAATTTATCAAGATGAGCTTTTTGACCAATGTGATTGAACTAAACCATTATGAAAGCAATCTACTGAGATGAACTCTTTGATGTGACTGAGCTAAGCTTTTATGAAGGTAATTTATTAAGATGAGCTTTTTAACTGAGGTGGCATTGAACTAAGCCTTTATAAAGTTAATTTGTTAAGATAAGCTATTTAGCTGAAGTGGTCGAGCTAAACCTTAAGGTGACTAAGCTAAATTTTTAAAAAAGTAATTTATCGGGATAAACTCTTCAATCGAAGTAGTCGAATTAAGCCTTTAGACAAGCTATTTAGCTGAGGTGGCTGAATTAAGCCTTTTAGGAAGGCAATATACCAAGATAAGCTCTTTAGTCAAAATGACTGAGCTAAACCTTGAGACAAGCTCTTTGGCTGAGATGATCAAGCTAATCCTTTAGGAAAGTAATTTATAAGGATGAGCTTTTTACTTAAGATAGCTGATTTTAGCCTTTAGAAAGGTAATTTGCCTAGACGAGCTCTCTGACCAAGTTAGGCAATTGTGAAAGTAATTTGTTGAAATGAACTCTTTTGCTGAGGTGACCAAGTTAAGCTTTTAAGAAGGTAAATTATCAAGATGAACTCTCTAACTGAGCTGAGTCCAAGCTCAAGCTCTCCAGACAAGTTATTTTATTAAGTTAGGCCATTTTGAAAGCGATACATAGATTCTTTTCCTTTGTGGAAAATCGTAAGCCTCTTTCTCTCATAGAGGATTGTAAAGCTCTTTCCCTCTTTAAGGATCATAGATTCATTTCCTCCGTGGGGGATCATAGACCTCTTTCTCTCGTAAGGAATCATAGATTTCCTTCCCTTTTCATTAGCCGATGAGAAGGGATGAATAAGGATAGTAACAAGTAGGGTCAAGCAGGTTTTTGCTCACTCTGTACCCAACCTAACTTTTTTTAAAAATTTTTTATATCCGAACCCGACCTAACCCGATATTATATTAAATTGTACTCTATCCAACTCAAAATTAATAAAATATTTTTTAAAATATAAAATATTATTTTTAATATCAATATAAAATTAAATAATTAATTAAAAAATAATATATATCAAGTCAGGTCAGGGAGAGTTTGCCCAAAATCTGACCTCGACCCAACCTCGAAATTTGTATATTATTTACTCAACTCGACCTAAAACCTGATTTGCAAAAAAAGAAATCGATCCTAAGAAGTCGAGTTGAGTCAAAACCCGTTAGGTACGGGTGGGGTTGTCATCTCCAGGGATAAATCTCTCTCAACTCGGTTGCTTTTCATTATAGCTTCGAAGCTCGAGCTCTCTAGCCAAGCTACTTTATCAAGTTTGGCTTTTCTGAAGACAATATGTATATTCGAGCTCTTTGATTGAGTTAAGTTCGAGCTTGAGCTCTTTGGCCAAGCTACTTTGTTGAATTGGATTTTTTCAAAAGTGTTATGTAGATCTGAGCTCTTTGGCAAAGTTGAGTCTAAGTTCAAACTCTTTAGATGAGCTATTTTGGCAAATTAGGCCTTTTTAAAAGTGATATGTAGATTCAAGCTTCTGGCCAAGTTGAATATGAGCTTTTTGACTGAGCTATTTTGTTAAATTGCACCTTTCTACAAGCGATATATAGATCTAAGTTTTCTTGCTAAGCTTAGTCCGAGCTCAAGCTCTTTGGCCTAACTGTTTTGTTGAATTAAGCCTTTTTGAAGGTGATATGTAAATCCAAACTCTTTGACCGAGTTGAGTTCGAGCTCTTTAAATAAGTTGGGTTCGAGCTCTTCTATCTTTTTATGGTACCATTCCAAGCTTAGCTAAAAAAAACCTCTACCTGACACGTCATTTGTTTGTGTTAAATTCGGATTGGGACGATAAACTCAAAGATAGGAATTACAAAGCTAACGGGAAGACTCACAGACAAGAATGAAATAGTTGAACGAAGAATTGGCCCCTTCTCTAGAGGGAGTAAGGGGGTATTTATATACATCAACTCAGACTAAATGACTAAAATACTCTTGATTCAATTGTAAACCACTCTTTTAAAGTTAAAAACAATTATACCTTTATAACCCAAAAATGCCTTTAACACTATAAAAGTGGGAGCTGCACCAAAATATGTTGCTTTTTACCATCTTTGCTCACTTTTTTGTAGTAAAATGACACTTTCTAAAACGAGTGTGACCAAAAAAAAAAAAGTAGTACCACTAATAGATTTTGTTGAGACACTTCTAACTCGATAAGAAAAGAGTTAATTGGAAATTGAGTTGGTGAGTACGTTCAACTTTGTTAAAAAGAAGAATATTAAGTCAGGTTAACATTTCAATATTCAAATCAGTCAGAAGATAATGAAGGGGGTAAATGGAGAAGAGAAGATACTAAAAGAGAATAGAAAGTGCTCAAGAGTATTGCATACCTGATTTAATTTTCTTTTATATTTCATGAATGATTATGTCGTTAATTGAACAAATAATTGTTTATCTTGAAATTATATGTGAATACTGATGACCTAAGAGCCAAGATGCATATGACGTGCACACTAAAGTGTATCAAATTTTTGCTTTAAACTTGTTTAAAGAAATAGTCATAATTGAATATAATATTTCTACCAAACTTCTTTTCATTCTCGTCTTACCATTTAAATTAATTTCAAATCACAGTCAATATGTTTTTCATGGTTATTTCTTGATGTATTATAGAACAAATTTTCAAGTCAATTTAACATTAAGTCGAATTATTTTGCTGAAAATGAATGCGATGAAAAAGTAGTTGATTGAAAATGCAAGTTCTGGCTTATGTGATTCTGTTCCTGACAGGAAGCCTTGTAATTTTCTGCTACCGATCGAGCTTGGTTCCTTGCCAGACTAGATTGTGATGATATTGGTACTCAGATTTGTAATCTCTGGGCTTGTTTTGTAGTACTAGATCAGTGATAGTTTCATGTTCTTCCAAAAAGGCATCAAATACCCATACATGGTCAAAGTTGAGCCACTAATTGGTGATGAGATTTATCACTTTGTGCGAATATTGAGATACCTAGAGATCAGAGATAAAAAGAATGCTGTGATGGTGAAACCAGTGGCAATATGTCGGTTGCCTGTCAAGTTTAAGCACTGCTATGAATGTGAAGAAGCTACATGATATTCCGGGTTGCTGCTTCACTTGCAGGTTTCGCTGTTTCTCCAGTCAGGAGCAAGCGCTTGAGGAGGCAACATATTATGCTGTCAGGTCGGTTAATATATAGACTAGATTTTGGCTTGGCAGTAAGTAGTTTGTACAGGAGACTGAAGTGGTACAAGGCAAGAATATAGCAGAAGTTTTGAAACCAAATTTGACTCAAAAGAATCTGTGAAAACCTTGAGCTTGACAGAGAATGTAAGTTGGGAAATACAGAAATAGAGCATTCACAGAATCTCATAAGGATTTGGAGACGAGGAGAGTGACCCTTGAGGGGAAACTGCTTGAGCTGTCTAGTCTAAAAGAAAAGCTGTCATACATTGCCTGTTTGCAGGCGAATTTAGATGGCAAAACTGCAGAAATTGACAAACTCAACTTCACAATATTTTCACTCAAGGCTGAGATCAAGGATCTTCAAGAAATTATAAAGCAGGGAAACTTTGCCGTGAAGCAACTAGAGATGGCAAAGAAGATGATAGAGCAAATGGAGACGAAAAATGGCAGTGCTAGCACAGATAAAGGGGCAGATAGTAGTGCTTGAAGAACAATTATCCCAATTAAAATTCAACGATACCTCTGCCCGATATGCTTTGGTTAAAAGAGGGTTGAAGCTGTTAAAAAATACTTAATTAAAAGTCGTTAAGATGAGAAGGAGAAACAAAGAACTTGAGTTAGAAAAAAGGGAATTGTTAGTTACGTTATATGCTTCTTATGCCAAAATATTTGCCCTTTCTGACATGAGCGGTAAAGTTAAGTTTCAATTTGTTTTCTTGCTAGCTACAAGTTTCAGTATGAGCTGTTGTCCAAATGACCTCTAATCTGCTTGTTCTCACGTCACTTGGAAAACTCGAATTGGGACAATAAAAATGTCTTCACTCAAAATTTTTGGTGGAACAATAATAAATCATGCTTGTATTATGATTCTACACTTGCATTACTGTTTTTCCTCCGTAAGAGTTCATACTCTGAATTGCGATGCAGCTCAAGGCTCAAAATACCAGAACATATTATTGCTTGAATCTGAAAGGTTTGTTTCTTTGCTGGCACTGTTGCAGAGAAAAACTATTGCGAAGATTAGTGAACTGAGACATGCCAACGGGACCTCTCAAAAGTTGAAAGACTGCAGAAGAGCAGATTTGACATGGTTAAGGAATAGTACACCAACGCTGGCTCAATGCTTGCCTGAGGGCTGAAATCCAAGAACATCAAACATCATCAAGAAAGATCTTGCAAACGGAACTTCAGAAGGCTTCAGACCAGAAACCTCAAAAAATAACTACACAATACCCTGATACGAGCAGCAGTTCTTCTTACACCTCATCAATTGATAGTGAAGAGCTAGATAGTAGCACCATTGAAAGCTCTTCAAGAAGACAGAGAAGCATTAGCAAGAATTCTGGCACAGGTCATTGCACAAGTTGGAGAAGCATGGATGGTTCTGGTGTTGTTTCATCACCATAAGTCCTCCATAGGAAGTCCTTTGGAAAGAACTGGCATCATATTCAGGTTTTCTACTTCAATGACATCAATGCTAAGCACTAAACTAGATGGTATATCTAGCGAGAAAAATGTGCCGGTGCTGAAGGATTTTACTGAAGAAACTACGAAGAAGCCAAATCTTACAAAAGGAGAGTTTCTTTCAATGATGCAGTAGAAACAGTTCCATCAGCAAAGATAGTTTTAACAAAATCAGTTGAAGGGAGATTGGATGACAAGGAAATTGTTACTTTGGTCTCTGGGCACAGATCAAGAGTGAAGGCAGGCCTGCAGTCTCAATCTGCATTGGCTGGAGAGAAACATGAATTTCCATCATCTGAGGTCTCTCTAGCAAAGCCAGACCAATCAAGTGATTCAAATAGGAGATCTATTGACGAGGATGATCGTGATGCCCAAGAGGTTAGAAGGTAAATAGCAAATGCTCGCCCAGAAGGAGGACTGCATTCAAGCATTTCCAATGTCATTCGTGATAAAAATAAGATGGATACTCTCATAAAGCCTCCTGTATTTGCACTTTTTTTCCTCTTTTCAATTTGTATTACTTCTCTATTTCTTACATCTTTTTGCCAGGACATACAAATCTTGACATATTAATGAAGCATGAGAAAGCATATATATTTTATGACCTGTCTTTTTCTCAGGTTAGCATTCTCAATTTTTGAACTGTACATCACTACATAATTTTCACATCATAAATACAACAATAAGAAATAAAAAAAATTCAGTTACCTCTTGAGGGAGAAGCTAGATTACAAACATCCTAGTCAGACAGTCATCTAGATTGCTGGCAGAAGTCAATCACAGAAACATAATCATTTTCAGATTCTCCTTCTGTTCACTTTTGTTTCTTATCATTGCCAGCTAAGCTATTATCTGCAGCTGCTGCTGCAGCCAATTCCATCAACCTCTCATAGTCTATCTCAGTTGACTTGTACTTTAACTTGAGACCTCCCTGAGTCCATGACTTAATACAAAGGATAGCTTGTGTGCCATCATGTGGCATACAAAACCGCTGCTTATCAATCTCATCACCTTTACTGCAAAATAGTTCCTCAGGTTTCACTGAAGTTGCTTGGACTGCCAAAAAGTCCCTAGCCATTGCAGATAGCCTAGGGTAGCGTGTTCTGTTGACATTCCACCACTCCAAAACGTCTGTCTTTGTAGGAGCTGGAGACTCAGAAAGATATTGAGTGAGTTCATCAGTGGCACTGCTCATGCTTGCTCTTCGCTTCTTTCGAGCTATTTCCTCTGCAAAAGAAACATTTCCTCCATCTTCAATATCTCGAGTAGAGTATCCACTAGTCATGGATGAAAAATGGCCGGTACAATAATTTCTCATGAAATAGGCTCTTGCTTCCTCCAGATAGTTTTTCGAGTTGAGACTCTCAGGTATGAGTTCACATTTAATTCTAGGGTCAAGAATGGCAGTCATGTAGATGAATATGTTGCAAACCTGATTGTTGTAACTTCTGAGCTTTTCGGCCATGTCTTCAGCAGCATTCTTTAGCCAATCTGGTGGTTGTCGTGTTGCAATTGTATCAAAAATGTGATCCATGTAGACAATAACTATCCCAATAGTAGGCGGGTTGTTTACACATATCTCATTGATGACTTTGTAGAAGGGTTCCAAGTAATTGTGAACAATATTGACAACATTCTTCTCCGCAGCATTCAGCAACATCCTACTACCCAGCATCTCCTCATTCTTCCTGACAACAGCATCCACTGACTTCCCAGCCTGCTTTCATATTAAAAACATGGAAATCGAATTTTATCATTAGTCACCAAACCCCATGTGTGAATTTGCAGAAAAACAGATTACAAATCTCTCAAACCTAGTAAGGAGTTCTTATATGAAAGAAACAAGTACCTTATGAACAAGATCAAGCATTTGGTAATTGCCACTCCACCGTGCTGAAGCATCAAGTGGAAATTGCCAACTGCCTTCTTGGTAGGCTGTTGTTAATTGAATGAAATCCTCTGAGATATCTAAGGATGCATTTAACTCTTGTACAAACTCCCTGACCTTGGCAATAACAGGTTTCGTTGTTCTCAATGCATCATCTATAATCAAACTCAAAGTTCGAGCAGCACAAGGGATATAACAGAAGGGTCCCACTTTCTGACCATCCAAGTCCTCCTTTAAAGTATGGCAAGCATGGATAGCATTCTGACTGTTATCATGGGTGCACGATAGGACTTTATTCTCTATATTGTACATCTTAAGAACCTTTAAAAGGGAGTTATATATTTCAGAACCTGTACAAGGGTAAGGTACATGGCATATATCCAGAAGCACCTTTTGGAAGGACCAGTTTTCATCAATCCATTGACATGTGATGCTCATATAAAAGATCTGTTCATAGGAAGTCCAGAAATCAAGAGTGAGGGAGACCTTGGAAGAAACCTGTTCCAAAGATACTCTCACATCTTCTCTCATGCTCCTGAAAACTTCACGAAATACTGCTTTGTACTTCTCACCTGACCATAGTTGTATTGATGGATTCAAACATTTAAAGGAGTTTGCTAACCACTTTTCCTCTAAGGTCGAAGGAGGAAGAGTAGCTAAAACGAGCCATTTAATAAGCAACCAATTCAGATGATCATAATCAACCTGAGGTGCTCGTCCTTGTGGTTGAGGTTTCTTGATCACAGTGGTGGTGGGCTGTGGTGCTGAACTAGAGACAGTCTCCCCTGTCTTATCATATCCAGGATGCCGATGACTAAGGTGTCTTCCTAAATTTCCTTCACAATGAAGGGGGATCATCAGATGGATGAGATAATATATTGAGTGGTCATATACATACCATAAGCTTGCTAAATGCTACATCGATTGACTCAACCATGGTAACCAGCCATCTGATTACCAAGGTGCCTTCCTAAATTGCCTTCACAATGTAGGGGGATCATCAGATAGATAAGATAATTATAATGTGCTATCATACTTATCATAGGCTAAAGCATGGCGTAAGCTATCAAAATGCTACATCCACAGAGCCAAACCATGGTAAAAAGCCACAAATGTTGTTTTCAAAATAGCAAATTTAATTACAAGAAAACCTATAGCTCCTTAAAAGCACATAGATATAAATAGATAATACAATGCCAATAAATCATTATTCGATAAGAGCACACAGAAAAGGTAAAGGACAAATTGAAGCAAGTCCACAGGACTTACCTGTTGCAGTTGCGATAGAATAGCTCTGTCCGCAAAACTTGCACCTCCTAGTTTTCCCATCAGGAGCTGTCTCAAAATACTTGAGGTATATTGATGTCATTGTCTTCTTTCTGGGTTTTGCTGTAGGGACAACATTTCCCTTTTCTGAAGAACCCAGTTCAATATTTATTGGATCAATATTAGGAATGAGTGCCATATCCATCATGGTTTTGGGTTCCATATCTGCTATAGAAGCAACAGGTAAAAATTATAGACTCATAAACAAAGTAGTACTCAAGCATTCAATATTCTCAAGACTTCTGCGGTAAAATAAACCAATAACAAGTTCAAAACTATTAAATTTCAAATAATGCAAGCAAGCTGCAGCTCAAATGCTCAATATGTGAAGGTCAGGTTTCTATCTTTTCGGTAACTCAAATTTTCCATTTCCCTCTCTTGCACCAATAAGTCTCTTATACAAGAATACTATGCAAAGAAATTTATCTTTTCTGCATGGTTCTAGTTCAACAGGTCAGTTATAATATTATGTAGAAAAAAGTCCTTGTTTAGCTGAATCAAGTAAAAAGACATTAAAGTATACAAGAGTTGTAAAAAAATGACTGCATATGTGGAACTCAATTTAAGATCTGAATCTCCCCCCCCCCCCCCAATGCACACACTATAAACACATACCCACAGTATCCATTTCTCATTATCCCCGTAAACCTCACTGCAACCTCCGGAAGGACCAGAACATAAGATTAAATTTAGTAGGGTTCACATCATGTACAATTGTTGAATCTGAAAAATGCATAGCCCACTAGGTACGGATGTCACACTCACAGACCATTGAGATTTCATAATTATATACAATTAATTGCAGGTGATATAAACCCCAACTCAATAACTTGTTTCCAAAAACAATTAACTGAATCCACGTTTTATGAGTTAATTACATAACCAAAACACAAGAACAAAGCTAGAAGACGATCGTTATCAATGTGATCTAGACAAATACAGGGATGAGAAGATACCATTGTAAGTCTTGAAGGCATTGTTCACACTCCTCCACTCCATTTGGTTTCCAGCTTTCCCACTAAATCTTCATGTCTTACAAAAATGCAATTTCAAACAAGCTAACCAAAAAGGCTTCATTTATCAACAAAACAAAATTTTAAAATAAAATAATGTTTACCCCAAAAGTCATAGACAGTGCTGACACCAGAAGAAATTCTGCTTCATTTGATATCCAAACATAGCAATTAAAACCCTGAAAGCAAAAGAAAAAGAGATTAGAGACAGTTTTAAAAAAATGGATTTTGTTTGTTTGGAAAGAAAAAGTTTGGGTTAATGACTAACCTTGGATCAATGGGTTCTTGTTCTTCACTTAATTCTAAGCTTTGAATTTGCAGAAATCAGTGGTGAAAGAAGCAAAGAAGAGGAGCTTAAGGCAGAGAAAAGGAGAAAGGGGTAAGAAATGGAGGGAAGGAAAAGAGATCGGCGTAGATCTAAGCTGGATCTAAGCCGATGAAACCAAAGGGAGAGAAAAAAAATATATAGCAACTATAGGAACAAAATCAAATCAGCTATTACTTTACAGAGCCGCGGAGCGAGTTGAGTCTGCGACGCGGACGCCTATTTATCTAAAATCTAACCCTTTTTGGCTCGGCTGGCGGGTGATGAGGGCAAACCAACTCGAGCGAGTGGCTCATGAGGGATTGCCTTATCAGACTCAGGTGCTAAAAGTCCGAGCCAGCTTTCGTCCGGTTTTCTTTATATATAAAATATCTTTATGGTCTTAAAAATCGGTGGTGGCTGGGCTGGCTCAAGGTTAGGAACAGAACAGTTACTGAAGCCTGATAGTTCTATTTGATGAGCCCCAGGTTGGCCCGCTGGGAGCCGAAGAAAGGTTGCGAGTCCGGCTCAAATCAAACACCATTTTAAATCAAACGACCAAATTAGATTTGATAATTTATATTATTTTATTATATAAAATATTATATTTGTATCCTATTTTATATAAAAATTATATATTATAATTTATATCAATATAAGAATATAAAATATAATTTTTTGATTTTATTAAATTTATTTATAATTATTCTCAAATTTTAAATCATGTTATCTTTATATTTTTTATTCGCATCTTTTTCATATAATATTATCATATCATATTTCATATTATTAGGTCTAATTCAAATATAAAGGTGCGTGGAACTTTTATTTTTTTGTGACATTACACTTTTCTTTTAGAGAACAAATATACAAATACATTAGAATTGGATACACTACATGAATGAAAAAAAGTTATGGCTTGAAAAATATATATGGAAAAAAAAAGGAAAAAAAATTTTTAAGCAATTAGTTTTTTTTTTTAAGTGCACAACCATATGTATCTTTCATTTTAAATTTTTTAGAATAATTCTAGC